GAAATCCGCGCGGGGGACCCCTCCGGGAGTTTTTTTTGTATGCTCATACCATTAGGTCTGGCATTTCCCCCTACAGGGGATTTTTGGCAACTTTAAAAGACCCAAAAATGCCACAAAATGGTCAAACAATAATGAAAAATAGTCCCCAGACTACTTTTTGACTATCTTTGAATATTCCTCCTGTAGGGGGACAGGGCCGACTTGATCGTACCACTTCTCGTCCCCCCGTGGTGTGCTGCGTGCGAGCGCCCAGCGCGCGAGGCGTCCACGGGCGGCCACCGGGCGACACCGGCGACACCCCCGCAGCACTCAGAGATCCGACGTCGCGACTTTTTCCATGCGGGGTCCCCGGAAGCCTCGACCCCTTCCCCAGCACCGGCTCTGCATCCCGAGTCGTCCTCGGGCGCTCCTGGGGCCTGGCGAGGGCCCCTCGAGGCCGAAGACTGCGAAAAGCCTCCGTGCGCCGACCTCGAGGGCCCCTCGGCGGGCCCCTCGAGGCCGATGTTTTCAGTGCGTTGGGTCTCCGGGCGCGCGCGCGCGCCCCGCGCAGGAGGCGCCCACGGCATGCCCACGGGCTGCCACCCGGGAGCGAAGCCCCGCCACGCGCCCTCCCCGCGCGAGGAGGCGCCCGCGCGGCGCGCCCCCCGGGCGGACGCCGTGCGGCACCTCGGCCCGCCCGCCCGGCGCACGAGGTGCCCACGAGGCGCCCACGGGTAGGCATTCATCGGGAGCGGCCAAAGAGGGGGGTGTCCAAGAGGGGGGGGTGCAAATCATGACCGGCGGCATGTGCGCGGCCCAGCGGGGGGGCCTGGGACGTAATGAAAGAAGAAGAAGAGGCGCCATGAAATCTGCGGAAAAATCATGGCCCGCGCCATGATATCCCCCCCCCCTAGTCATCACCCCCCTCTTTGCCGCTCCCGAATTCAGTCGGGGAAACGTAAGACTCGAGTAGGCCGGGACTCGGGCTTGCCGACTTCTCTTTCGGCGAGGCGCGTCCTGGATTCTGACGGTCCAACTTTCGTGGGATGTCTGCAGCGGGAGCTCGCGTCAGATTTCAGATTGGGCCTTGTCATTTTCATGATGGCCCCGTCAGGCCGACCCGAGTCCCCCGTACCTGACGCGAGCTCCCGCTGCAGACATCCCACGAAAGCTGGACCGTCAGAATCCAGGACGCGCCTCGCCGAAAGAGAAGTCGGCAAGCCCGAGTCCCGGCCTACTCGAGTCTTACGTTTCCCCGAGTCAGGCGAAACCTCTGCACACCCACCCATCACGAGGCGCCCACGGAACGCCTGCCAACCGGGAAGACAGAACTACCCCCCCCCCATCTCTTCTCTTTTCCTCTCCCCTCTCTTCTAGTCTCTCAACTTATGCTCTTGTGTGTGTGTTTTTCGAGAGAGAGGGTGTTCTGTCTTCACGGTTGGAGGCCGTTCCGTGGGCGCTTCGTGAGGAGTGGTGTGCAGAGTTTCGCCTGACTCGGGGAAACGTAAGACTCGAGTAGGCCGGGACTCGGGTGCCGACTTCTCTTTCGGCGAGGGCGCCGGTCAGGATTCTGACGGTTTTCCAGCTTTCTTTGGATGTCTGCATCGGGAGCTCGCGTCAGGTTACGGCGGGACTAGGGTTCGGCACCGACGGGGCCATTAAAAATGACGAAGGCCAATCTGAAATCTGACGCCGAGCTCCGCTGCAGACATCCCACGAAAGTTGGACCGTCAGAATCCAGGACGCGCCTCGCGAAGAGAGTCGGCAAGCCCGAGTCCCGGCCTACTCGAGTCTTACGTTTCCCCGACTGAATTCGGGAGCGGCAAAGAGGGGGGTGATGACTAGGGGGGGGGGATATCATGGCGCGGGCCATGATTTTTCCGCAGATTTCATGGCGCCTCTTCTTCTTCTTTCATTACGTCCCAGGCCCCCCCGCTGGGCCGCGCACATGCCGCCGGTCATGATTTGCACCCCCCCCTCTTGGACACCCCCCTCTTTGGCCGCTCCCGATGAATGCCTACCCGTGGGCGCCTCGTGGGCACCTCGTGCGCCGGGCGGGCGGGCCGAGGTGCCGCACGGCGTCCGCCCGGGGGGCGCGCCGCGCGGGCGCCTCCTCGCGCGGGGAGGGCGCGTGGCGGGGCTTCGCTCCCGGGTGGCAGCCCGTGGGCATGCCGTGGGCGCCTCCTGCGCGGGGCGCGCGCGCGCGCCCGGAGACCCAACGCACTGAAAACATCGGCCTCGAGGGGCCCGCCGAGGGGCCCTCGAGGTCGGCGCACGGAGGCTTTTCGCAGTCTTCGGCCTCGAGGGGCCCTCGCCAGGCCCCAGGAGCGCCCGAGGACGACTCGGGATGCAGAGCCGGTGCTGGGGAAGGGGTCGAGGCTTCCGGGGACCCCGCATGGAAAAAGTCGCGACGTCGGATCTCTGAGTGCTGCGGGGGTGTCGCCGGTGTCGCCCGGTGGCCGCCCGTGGACGCCTCGCGCGCTGGGCGCTCGCACGCAGCACACCACGGGGGGACGAGAAGTGGTACGATCAAGTCGGCCCTGTCCCCCTACAGGAGGAATATTCAAAGATAGTCAAAAAGTAGTCTGGGGACTATTTTTCATTATTGTTTGACCATTTTGTGGCATTTTTGGGTCTTTTAAAGTTGCCAAAAATCCCCTGTAGGGGGAAATGCCAGACCTAATGGTATGAGCATACAAACTCGGAGGTCCGCGCGGATTTCTCGGATCGGCGCTGGCCCCCTCCATGGCGCGCGGAGCGCGCCGGGGGGCGGCGCTGCCGCCGGGAGGCCCCAGCGCCGATCCGAGTAATCCGCGCGGACCTACGAGGTTTTATGTTTATGTCATTGGTCGTTCCCCTGCACGTGCCCTGCACCACACAGCTTGCATCAAGTCGGGCCTGTCTCTCTACAGGGGGAATCTTCAAGCACAGTTGAGACATAGTCAGGGGATCATTCGTTGGCCACTTCTTAGCACTCTTTGGTACCCGTTTGGCCAGAGTCTTGCGCACCTCCTCCTCCTCCTCCTCTTCCTCCTCCTCCTGCTCCTGCTCCTGCTCCTCTCATCAGCACCATATTCATCATCATCATCATCATCATCATCATCATCAGCAGCAGCAGCAGCAGCAGCAGCAGCAGCATCAGCATCATCATCATCAGCATCAGCATCATCATCATCATCATCATCATCATCATCATCATCAGTGTCTGGTACTTTTTAATCTTTCTTCCAAAGGCGGCCTTTAGGGGGACGGGCCCGACTCGAAGCCTGCACCGCGCAGCGTGCACCGCGCAGCGTCGGCGCAGGGCGAGGGCCTGCCCGCCGAGGCCCCTCGGCTCGGATGGCAGCGGCCCGGCGGCGGGCCAGCCACCTTTCAGGAGGGAAGCCACTAATCGTCGGTTCCCCCGAAAATCTGGGAAACTACGGGAAGTGGGGGGGAAGACAAAATCCAAGAAAAGATGGGAAAGTATAGTGAATCCTTGTATTTGTGTCTGTTTATCTGTGTGTCCCAGGGCCCCTTCAACCTTTTCTGGGACGCACCGAGACATACTAATACTATAAGTCCGCCTTGGAGGCGCGCGTCCGACCCGAACACATAGTATACCCATCTTGTAGCACATCGTGTCCCGAGCGGAGTGACCAAGAGGCGCCCGCCACGACGCATACACTGTCAGATTTCCCGGTGCGCGCGTCGCCCCTGGGGTGGGGGGGGGTGCGACGCACATATAGTATAAGTATGTTGGGGTGGCGCCGATTTTCAGCTCCTGAGGGAGCCTAGGACCGCAAGCCTGTGGGCGGAGAGCACAGGCTTGTGGAAAGGAGGAATCGAAACAGAAGCTTGCACCGCGCAGCTTCAGCCGCACAGCTGGCACCACCGACACTGGAGATCTGCAGCGCAACAGGGTGATCTGTGCGGCCCGCGCGGGCAAGCGTGTCGACGACGAATGCGCGCGACGATGGGGCGGAGAGCCACATGTTTGAGCACCGTGCGCCGCAAGATCCTTGCGGCCCAAGAGCCCGTCGAGACGAGTGTGCAGTGCCGGGGACGTGAGGCCGCATGTTAAACAAAAATCAGTCTTCCGTCCGCGTGGCAGCTGGAAGCTCCATGACCGGCGGGGAAGTCTAAGGCGAAACGCCTGGCCCTCCCCCTTCTCGGGGGCGGCAAAGAGGGGGGTGATGACTAGGGGGGGGTGGATATCGTGGCGGTGGCCATGATATCTCCCCAGATTTCGTGGCGCCTCTTCTTATTTCAATACGTCCCTGGCCCCCCCCCGCTGGGCCGCGCACATGCCGCCGGTCATGATTTGCACCCCCCTCCTCTTGGCCGCTCCCGAGACGACGAGGGGCTTCTTGGAGAGAGGAGGGATGGAGGCGAGGAGGGAGCAGGACGAGGCGCCCGCGAAGGAGTCCTCCAGCCTCCTCTGGGCCTGGTTGCTCCGAGGACGGAGTGGCTGCACTGCGTGCTGTCGTCGTGGCCCATGGCGTACTCCAGATTTCGAAATAAAAGGGAGGGGGTCTGGACCCTCCAAGACAAGCCATTTCAGACCCCCCCCCGTGGGAGAACCCTCCCAAACATCGTCCCCAGACCCCCCCAGGCCCTCCAAGATCGCCTGGAAGAGACCCCCCCCCCCCGAAATGAGACCCCCCTCCCTTTATTACGAAATCTGGAGTGCGCTTTCCTCGGCCCCTCGGCCGCGTCGGTCCTTCGGCCCTTCGCCCGGTCGTATGCCGTCTCGGCCTGTCGTGTGCTCTCTCGGGCCCTCGCGGCGCCTCGGGGCCCCGTGGTGCGGGGGGCTGTCTCGGGGCCTCCCGTGCGGAGCGCAGAGGCAAATCGGGAGGGAGAAAAGCACAGACACAATTCGTCGTCGACTCCCAGGAAGATATGCAAACAGAGGGGAAAGGGGGGGAAAGGCAGAGATCCCAAACAATGTAGGAAAATATGGTGAGTTATGATATTTGTGTGTATTTCTCTGTGTGTGTGTGTGTGTCCCAGGGCCCCTTCGGCAAAAGCAGCCGCAAGAGGATGCGTTGTCCTGAGCCTGGTGTACCTCGACCGCCTGATCAAGCGGCACCGGTGGATCGCGGTCAGCCCTTTGACTTGCCATCGCCTCGTGCTGACTAGCATTGTGGTCGCCATCAAGTTCTATGACGACACGTACTTCAGCAACAAGTTCTACAGCCAGGTTGGCGGCGTCTCGCTGACCGAGCTGAATTATCTGGAGAGGCAGTTTCTAGGTCTCGTTGACTTCAAGCTCTGCGTGGAACCTCGTGAGTACGAGCTTTATCGAGATATCCTTCTGAAGGCCGTCAACACGGGCATGGTTGGCGCTGCGCCAGATGCGGCGAAGGGCGCGTGAGGCCAGCGGTAAGGTAGCATTAGTGTCGGGCAGCGTGTTGCCAGCCAGACAGTAGCACAAAAGGCGCATCTCTTGATGCCCGCTACAGCCCGCCCTCCACCATTCTTCTTTCAGTGCAATCCAGCAGATTTCGTGCTCGTTATCTGAGCTCTGTTCGATGGGGGGAGGCGGAGAAGAATGACGAGGGAGATTGAAGAGATGGACGGATTACGAATGCGTGTGCGGGGTATGGCTGATCAGCACTGGTGCCGACTGGCGAACAGCCGGCAGAGCTGGATGCACCATGCCACGAACATCGCCACCATGATTCGCAAAAGGGCGTCGCCCCTCGACGGCACCCCGGGAAGCATCAGGGAGGCAGGAGTGAGGTGGACGCGGCTGGGGTGGAGAGGGGGAAATGTGAACGGGAGGAAAGTGATGGGGAGTTGGAGGCCTCATTGGGTGTCCGCAGCATCAGACAGGGCAGACGACGTGAAACTTAGCTCGATAGGAGCTGGCGTTGGAGGGACGGGGGTGGGTCGCGGGGATGTATCCAGAGAGTCTCGTTCACCAGGGGTGCCCTGAGCTCGATACTCTCGGCCTGGGCGCTTGGAAACTCTGACCCAGGGGGGGCTTGAAGTTTCGGTCCGAGGGCTCCGAAATGGGCATTTGGGGTTTCAGACTCGGGTGACGGACCCGCCAGCGTACCTGTCCGTCCGCGTGTACGCAGACCTGCCGGCACGACCCTCCTTGTAGCTTTTGGCGAGACCGCGCGCGCGTGTGAGGCGGGCAATAGTTATATCCACATCCAGTGCGTCTTGGATTCTTGGGCTCTCTTCCCCAGAAAACGTAGACGCACTGGATATGGATAAAAATCTGGCCCCAAGAGGCTTGTTTTTATCCATATCCAGTGCGCCTCGGCGTTGCGGCACCTCTTCCCAAAAAGTCCACGACGCTCTGGATATGGATATAAGTAGTGCCCGCATGTGAGGCAACAGCCGCCGCTGCTCGAAGATCGCTCTGCTCCCGCGGTAGTTTGGCCGCGCGGCTGGAGAGGGAGCGTGCTCGGCCCTCTGCGGACGGGAGGCCTGCGCCACGCCGCCGGCCCCAGATCCGGCGGTGACGCTGCCCTCCCTCGTCAGGAGGGGAAACACCACGCAGACACAACGAGTCGTCGACTCCCAGGGAGATGTGCGAAACTCTGGGGAGTGGGGGGGGGGAAGACGAACACCCCGAACATATGGGAAGAGATGGGGGACCTCGCTGTATGTGCGCATTGATTTGTGTGTGTGCTTGGGCCCCTTGACCTAAGCGGGCCTTCGGAACGCCCGGCTGGGGTCGGAGAAGAGCGGAGGGAGGAGCCAGGCACCCGCAGCGCCCCTGGGGTCGGTAGACCCAGCAGCGCGCTGGATCTGCAGGGCGCCTGCCGCCCCGTGCAGGCCAGCGGGCCTGCTCCGCGTGCCGGCAGTTGGGCGCTGCCCCAGGGCCGGGTATAGCCAGGACGGCCCGGTTAGCAGTTGGGCCCTGGAGCCCCTCAGTTTTCGGGGGCGGAAAAGAGGGGGGTGATGACTAGGGGGGGGTGGATATCATGGCGGGGGCCATGGTATTTCCTCAGATTTCATGGCGCCTCTTCTTGTTTCATTACGTCCCTGGCCCCCCCCGCTGGGCCGCGCACATGCCGCCGGTCATGATTTGCACCTCCCCCTCTTGGACACCCCCCTCTTGGCCGCTCCCGAAGTTTGCCAGGATCATTGAGCCAGGTCTGCCGTAGCTGGTGTTTTTTCGGGTGACGGCAGTTCCGGTTCGTGGAACGGGCGGGGGGGGCGTCCCCCAGTACACATCATTGAACCAGGTCCCACTAAACCCATTTGTGCCAACGCCCGACGAGGCTTGCCCCGTGCAGAGGGTCTCCGGCTTGCGGTGTCGAGAGGGAGGGGGAGGGGGAGGGGGGGAGGAAATGAGCTGGAGGAGGAGGAGACCGACGTCCTCCTCGACCCGCTTTCTCCCCTCGCCTCATCCTCTGAGAGGCTTCTGGGGGGGGGTAAGGAAGGAACGCGGGAGCGTCAGAGTGGAACATTGAGCATGCCCCCGCGCAAGCGGGGCGGATGTGGTAAGGCCTCAGTGCGTCCGTCTACGGAACCAGTCTCAGAATGGTGCTTATTACAGGGAAGGGCGGAGGAGACATCAGGAGGAGTGATGCGGATTTCTTGGGTTCGGGTGCAGACGCGACAGGAAGGTCGAAAACGACAGCGGGATTCCGAAGCAGGGTACCAGCGTGGTTCCAGGAGGCAGCGCATCCGAAGCATCACGACCACTGAAAAAACGTATCGCACGAGAAGCCGCGAGCGCCCGAGGTCGGAGAGACGTTGCCGGCAGTCGGCGACTTTGAACGCGTTGTACATATCATGCCAGGCGCTGTGGCCTCACGGGGGCATGGCATGCCGGTGAGGCGGCATCAGTACACTGCCTCACATCTTACCAGTCTCGACCGTATCCCTATCCCTAAGCTTGGCGCGCCAAAAGGCGAGGACAATCTTGGGGAGCCGCCCTCAAAACAGAAGGGAATCCCTGAGATTGGCATCGTGATGAGGAGATGCCCAGCACAGGGATAGGGATATGTTCCAGGCTGGTACTCCAGATTTCGTAATAAAGGGAGGGGGGTCTCATTTCGTGGGGGGTCTCTTCCAGGCTATCTTGGAGGGCCTGGGGTGGTCTGGGGACGATGTTTTGGAGGGTTCTCCCACGGGGGGGGGGTCTGAAATGGCTTGTCTTGGAGGGTCCAGACCCTCTCCCTTTTATTACGACATCTGGAGTAAACATCGGCTGTCATGGCCACTCCCGTCTCGTCCCGGCGTCCGGCTCCTCCGGGCGCGCAGCCTGCTCCTTGCTGCGGGCCTCCGAGCCCGCCCCTGGCCGCCGGACGACGTGCTCCCGGGCTGAGGCGCGACCGCGGCAGCCCTGGATCGGGGGAGCGTAAGACCCGGGTTTGCCAGGACTCGGGCTCGCCGTCGTTTTCTTGACGGCCGCGCCTCGGAGTCTGACGAGCATAGGAGTTTCGTGGGAGGGCTGCAGCGGGAGGCCCCGTCCAAGTGCAGGCTCGGCCTCGTCCTCTTTTTGTCGACCTCGTCGGGGATTTCCGAGTCCCCTGTACCCGGGTCTTTCGGGCCGGACGAAAGGGGGGGATTGGGAAAGGGGGGGTTACGAAATTTGCTGCATGCAGCTGGTTTCGGCCCCACCGAGGGGCCCGTTCCTCGATACATGGGCGCCTCCGGCGCCAGGAAAATCAGCTACGTGAGCTGATTCTCAAACCCCCCCTTTGCTATCCCCCCCTTTCGCCCGACCCGGGTCTTACGCCCCCCCCGACTGGAGTGCGCGAGAGCTCGACGAGGGCCGCACGTGTGGAGCGCGACGGTGCGACTCGAGCAACCTGCTGCCGGTGAGCAGGGGAGGCCGGACGCGCGGGTGGCCGGGCGCGGGATGGGAGGGCTTTCGTCGGGAGACTCTCCAGCGGGGGGGATCCCATGGGATCCCCCCCCCTGGGATCCTATCCCCCCATGGGATCCCCCCCCATGAAGAGTCTGCCGATTTCGTGCGTCGAGGAGGATATCGAGCAGGGACGGGCCGTCCTCGCTGGCCTTTCGGGGCCCGCCAGGGAATGTTCAAAGAACCTTTTTGTGGTCTGCGCGAATTCGGCGAGCGAGAAACGGTGTACAATAAACTGTTTCGCTGTCGGGGGCGCCTATCCTTGGGCGGCTTGGAAAGTTTATACCCTCACGGCGCCGCCGTAAGGGTATAAACTTTCCAGCCGCCCTGGGGCAGGTGTCCCCGACGGCGGAAAAGTTTATTTTATACCGTTCTTCGCCCGTTAACGAAATGCTCTCGGAACAGTTCTGTCCGAGATTGTCTCTCTGTCGCTTTGGCTGGAGCATGTTGACCGAACTGCTCCCCAGACATTTCTTAGCACACCTGGCCCTTAGGAATGCATCGGCGTTTTGTTGTCAGAACCATGCTTTCGTTTGTCGAACGCTCCTTTCGTCTCAGAGCATTGCGTGGTAGGCCCGCAGGGGTGCCGGGACGGTCGGCCCCTGCTCAATAAGAGCACTCTGCAGCAGGGTGCCAGCGCCGGAGGCGCCGCCACGGGGGGGGGGGCCACGCGTTGGCGGGAAACATCCGCGCGGAGCTCCGAGGAATGGTGTTCATGCTGCTTCTTGTTCTCCCAGCCCAGCATTCATCGCCGAAGTCTCCAGTGGCTTCTTGCGTCACCGCGCCCTGGGGAGCCGCGCAGGGAGCTCCAGGGAAGGCCCCGGTGGCTGCACTCGCATGCGGCTTCCCCCGCCAGTGCAGCGCTTCGTGGCCCCAGACGGAGCTTCACCGAAGGCCTCCGTGACGGTGTTCGCATGCGGCTTCCTCGGCACGAGGATACGAACACAGGTCGGTGACAGTAGGTATTTCTGGATCTTCGGATCCCAATCTACTTTCAGCTCCTTCCTGCTTCAACAGTCGCGTAGCTTCCCCCCTTCTTTCCTGTTCGGGGGGGGCGGAAGCCCAATCTACTGCCAACGCCCTCCTACTTCATGTTGTTTACATACTTCTGCCGACCTACGTGTATTCGGAAATGAGTTGGGCCCCCGCGCCCTCACTGTCGGCACGAAGCTGACGTGTCCGGGGGGGCGACTGGAGCTCTCCTCGTCGACACAGCTGGACCCGATGCGAAGCACAGGTTGGGATTATGTCCCAAGCAGGTTCTGGTGACGGACTTCAAGCGAAATCAGCTTCAGGGGAAAAGCATGTAGAATTTGCGGCGTTCGGTGGGCAGGAGCAGGTGGGAGTGCGTGAGGGATCTCCGCGGGCTGTGCACACGAAGTCTGCGTCTAAGTCCAAGGACCCGGCATCCTTGTCGCTCCCTTGCGGCATTCTCCCTGGAATTGCCCTGCAGCTTGGCCAGAGGCTGAACTTCCCTGATGCACGCACTCCGCCCCAAGCCCTTGCTCCGCTTCTGGAGTCTTCAGAGGTCTCTGGAGGTGTCTCGCTTGGAGGCCCCCAGAGGCCTCCCGAGGCCCAGACGTCGACGAGGGGGCGAACCAGGGCGAAGGACGTCCAGAAACCTCGGGGAGCACATCGTCGGCGAACCTGCCCATCGCCAAAATCTCCGCGGGCGACCAGTGTGCACCGTGCCGCGTTGGCGTCTCCCGACCCAAGGCGTCGTCGATCCTCTGCCCAGGAATGGTGCGGTGCACAGCTTTCGGCCCTGCGGAATTGCCCACCGTACCGACTCGCTTGGAGCTATGATGTTCCAAGTTATTTTAGCCCTGATCGCCAGAAAGAATTGCGAGCACCAAGAAAGTACCGAAACTGGAGGGTTTCCACGTGTCGGGCCCTGGGCGGTACCCGTTCGACACTGTTCCGATGCTTGCTTGGGTGCTCGAAAGTATTCTGGGATGGAAGTGCGATGGGAAGAACAGGAATTTGGAGCAAGGTCCGACGTGAGTCCAGACATCATGCGGTACATGGGCGCCGTCCTCGCCAAAATCGGCACCGAGACCCTCGGGGGCCTTGGCAGACCGCCCCCGCCCCCCAGGCCTCCCAGATTTGGGGTTTTTGAGCAGGCGTGGCCGGGGGATCGCGCCGCGTCGCCGCGGCATCGGCGATGCGTCTCGATGTGGAGCAGGCGATCGCAGACATGGACCAAGGGGGCGTGGATTAGCGACGGGTCCCGTTTCCACGGGCAATACGGATTTCCGCCGCCGAGCGAGGCGGCACCGGCCGCATTTTGGGGAGGGCACCTCCCCCGATCCATGGATTTGGCGACCGCGCGCCAAGTCCATGGATCGCTAATCCATGTTTGCGCGCCCCCAAGTTGAGCGCGATTTTCGCCACGGAGATGGCGCCGATGCATCGCCGAGGTCGCCGATGCATCGGCGATGCATTGGAGATCTGGCGCGATCCTCCGACCAATCCACTCGGACCCCATCTGCGCCGTGGGCGTTTTCGAGGGTTGGCGACCGAGGATCGAGATTCGAGGGTCTGTGGTCGGTGTCGAGGTTCGGGGAGCGGGGACGCTCTCTGCGCCGACGGCGCCGAGACATCGCCGACACCCCAGCGCAGAGACCCGCGAGACGGGGCCACCGCCCGGATCTCCCCCGGCGCTCGCGAGCAGGAGCAGGAGGGGGATCGTGCGGTGAGGCGTTTGGGGGCTCAGAGGCCACCGCACAGTCGTTCGCCGCACCGTCCTGGGAGACCCCCAAGGTGGAGAAATGAAGAGGCACCGGCACCAGCACTCTACGGATCCGTCCCGAGGTGTGTTCTGACCAGAGCTTCGAGGCGAGCCCAGCGGTGGCACTTGGAGGGCCTCCCGGGAGGCCCGCAAGGGCGAAGCCGGGGCGAGGGCAGGGGTATGGGGACCTCGGGGTCCGCGAGGCCAGCCTCGTGTTACGAGCGTTCGCGCCACGCGCACGTTCGAGACCGACGTGAGTCTATGTACACGCGCGTCCTTCGCCTCCTCCTCCGCCTCCTCCTCCGCCTCCTCCTCCGCCTCCTTCGTCTCCTCCTCCGCCTCCTCCTCCTCCTCCTCCTCCTCCTCCTCCTCCTCCCTCCTCCTCCTCCTCCTCCTCCTCCTCCTCCTCCTCCTCCTCCTCCTCCTCCTCCTCCTCCTCCTCCTCCATGCACACGCGCGTCCTTCCGCCACTCCCGACCGTGGGCGGGCGCATCGGCTCGGCATCGTTCGGACGCGCGCACGTTGCTCGGCGGGGCCAGCGCCAGAAGGTCTCGACCCTCTCTGGGCACCTGAGCCGTCTCGGGGGGGGGGGCCCTGCGCCGCTTCGCGGGGGGGGGCGGGGGGGGGGTCTCGCACTCCTCCTCCTCCTCCTCCCTCCTCCTCCTCCTCCTCCTCCTCCTCCTCCTCCTTCCTCCTCCTCCTCCTCCTCCTCCTCCTCCTCCTCCTCCTCCTCCTCCTCCTCCTCCTCCTCCTCCTCTTGGACCACCCTGCGAATCAACAAAAGCGCGCGCGGGACCGGAACGCGCACTCAGGATGGACGCCCGAGGGATGGCAAGCTGGGGATGCCGAAGCCTCCGCGCGGTCTGGCGGGGATCCCGAAGTGAGAAGGAGGAGGCCTCCACAGAGAGCGGCGGGGCTTCTCGGAAGCCCTGCGGCCTTCCGAGAGGTGTCCTGCGTCTTCGGGGATGGCTCAGGAGGGGAAACACACAAAAGTCATCATCCACTCCCATGAATAGATGGGAACATATGGGAAGTGGGGGGAAGACAAAAGCCCCAAACTGCGGGAAAGTATGTGGGATCCTTTTGTTTGTGTGTGCATTTGTTTGTGTGTCCCAGGGCCCCTTCAAAGGCTTCGAAAAGGGTTCGGAAGGCTGGAGACTTCCGAGCCTTCTGAGAAGGTCCGCCCACTCTTACTGCCCCCCAAGGCTCGCCGCCGAAGGGGGCCATCGCGCGACGCGCGTGGCCTTCAGGGCCACCGCGGCCGCGCCAGGCTCGGCGGCCACCTCGGGACCACGAGGGTCCACCGCCTCCCCCGCGCAGGAAGTCGAGATTCGAGGATCGAGGATCGAAGCTCGAGGATCGAGGGACCCCCCCTCGGGCGTGCCTGGGCGGCCGCTCGGGGCGTTCCGGGCACCCCCGGAGCGCTCTCGGCGAGGCGCAGCTGCTGGAGCGCAGCCCGAGGCAGGAACACCGCCGAGAGCCGCCGACGGCGCCCCTCGAAACCTCGAACCTGGAAACCTCGAACCTCTAAACCTCGAAGCCTCGAGCCTCGAAGCCTCGAAGCCTCGAGCCTCGAAAGCTCGAAGACCGCCGAGAGACGACGACGACGCCCCTCGAGATCTCGAACCTCGGAGCCTGGTTCCCCCCTCCCGGGCGCGCCGCCGAGTCCCGGAACGCCCCATGGAGGAGGAGGAGGAGGAGGAGGAGGAGGAGGAGGAGGGGAGGAGGAGGGAGGAGGGAGGAGAGGAGGAGGAGGCGGAGGAGGAGGCGAGGAGGAGGCGGAGGAGGCGGAGGAGGAGCGGAGGAGGAGGAGGAGGGAGGAGGAGGAGGAGGGAGGGAGGAGGAGGAGGGAGGAGGAGAGGAGGAGGAGGAGGGAGGAGGAGGAGGAGGAGGAGGAGGAGGAGGAGGAGGAGGAGGAGGAGAGGAGGAGGAGGAGGAGGAGGAGGAGGAGGAGGAGGAGGAGGAGGAGGAGGAGGAGGAGGAGGAGGAGGAGGAGGAGGAGGAGGAGGAGGAGGAGGGAGGAGGAGGGAGGAGGGGGAGGAGGGAGGAGGAGGAGGAGGCGAAGGAGGCGGAGGAGGAGGCGGAGGAGGAGGAGGAGGAGGAGGAGGAGGAGGAGGAGGGCGGGGCGTGCTCGGCGCAGAGCGCGAGGCGCGAAGCCCTGGGTGGCCCGGCGAGGCGCGGCCTCGCCGGCTCGCGGCCGGGAGAGGTCCGGTGCTGCAGCAGAGCGAGCGGGAGAGCGGCGGGGTTTTGGGGCAGTGTTCGGCCTCCCAGGGGCCCTCGCCGGGCCTCGGGAGCAACGTCAACAGACGGTCAGCCACGCGCAGAAGGGGTATAGGTCGGGGGCGGGCAAAGAGGGGGGTGATGACTAGGGGGGGTGGATATCATGGCCGGGGCCATGATATTTCCCCAGATTTCATGGCGCCTCTTCTTATTTCATTACGTTCCTGGCCCCCCCGCTGGGCCGCGCACATGCCGCCGGTCATGATTTGCACCCCCCCCTCTTGGACACCCCCCTCTTTGCCGCTCCCGAATAGGGGGAGGGGGGGAGGCTTCTCAGGAGCACCCCTGCTTCTCAGACACGGCGGGGGCCTTGTCTGCAGATGGAGGGCGGGCGCCTTCTAAGAAGCAGCCTCCTTCCAAGAAGCCTGCCCCCCTCCCCCTACCCCCTTGTGCGCGCCGCCAAGACGACTCAGGACGAAAAACCGGCCCTCGGGAAGAAATTGGAGCGGTCGGATGTCCGGGGGGGGGGCGCGGCCCATTTGGGGCCCCTGTATCGATGCCCCTCAGAGGAAAAGAGGGTCAGAGATAGTACGGCAAGTTCGTGTCGTGTCGACGCGGCGGCGATCCAGGCGCGGGCGTTGGAAGTTCAACGCCGATCGTGGCCCAGAATCGGGCAACATCGAACGATCCGCGCTATCAGAAAGCCGCGATCGTTCAAAGTTGAGCGATCAATGGCGGCGTTGAAAACCACCGCCTGGGTCGTCGCGACACCACCCTGCCGTGCGACCCGTTGTGATGGTCGTCCTGCAGGGTGGCCTCTCTCCAGCCCGCGCCTCCTGCGCCTCCAGCGCGCCGCTCCGTGGCTCGGCGTCCACGACGCTGCCTCGTCCGCGCCACCTCTGGCTGTTTTTCCGAGGTGGTCCACCCACTTTTCTGGACTCCTGGTGTCCAGCAGGGGGTACCACCTAGCCAGCATCGCGGCAGAGCTCATGATGCCGCAGACCTGCGCCACAGCCGCCGACCCCGCTGATCTTGTCGGGGGGCTCGATGCCGAAGGGCTTTCGGCCTGGGGGAGAAGGAACAGAAAGATTTGAAGCGCACGCAGTGGCCCACACTGAAGAGGCTGCGCTCGGGGCGGTAGTGAACCTCGGTTGGGCTGCCTTGGAGTCCTTTTGGGCCGTGTGGGAGCCGTCCTAGGGCCTCTGGAGGGCCGTGTTGAGCGTCGGGAAGGTAGAAAGGCGAGAACGCCGAAGTCTTGCAGAAACCTTTGGTACATCAATGGGGTCTGCTTCTTGGGACACTCTTGGGTGTGCTCTAGAACGCTTTGTAGAGCCCCTTGGCCACTTCTTGGGGTTTCCTTGGGGCCTCTCTGGGGCCATTTCGGGGCCTCTTGGGGGCCTCTCGGGGACCACTCAAAGCCTTCTGGGGAGTATTGGGGCCGAGGACTCGAACTGTCCGTTGGGGTTCCCCGTCGAGGGCCCCAGTGGGAGTCGTTTGGGGGGGCCTCTGTGGTCGCCTTGGAGGGGTGTTGTGCTGTCTTGGGGCGCTCTGAGGCAGTTGGGGGGCCCTCGTAGAGGCGTGGTGTGCCGCCTGGGAGCAGTCTTGGAAGCCTCTTGGACCTCTCGTGGAGCGTCGAGAGGCCGAGAAGGCGAGAGCGCCCACATCCTCCTCCTCCTCCTCCTCCTCCTCCTCCTCCTTCTCCTCCTCCTCCTCCCCCTCCTCCTCCTCCTCCTCCTCCTCCTCCTCCTCCTGGGATCCCTCCTGGCCCCCACTTCACACACGACCGTTTTCCTTCCAACGACGATCGCATGGTGCTTGCCTCCTGGGAGCTTTCTGAGAGTGCTCACGACGATGCCTTTTTGGAGCGTCTTCGAGGTTTCGTCGACCGTCTCGGAGGCGAGGCGGACCTTGTTTGGGGCCTCTGAGGGCCTACGGTAGGGGAGTCTTGAAGAAGGAGCCTTTTTCGTTGGGGAGGGGCTCCGCGTTCCTCAAGTGTTTCACAGCTTGCCTCAGGTGTTCCTTTGTTTTCGATCGGACATCGAAGTTTAACTCATGGAAAAAAGGGGCCTCGTTCCTTATGTAGGGTTCCTCAGGTCAACGCCCCGACTGTATTGGTCATCTCGGAGCCGTCGGTCCGCTCTGAGGCAGCAAGAGGAGCCCAGCGAGAGAAGGTCAGACCCCCCCCCCCCGGTGAGGGCGGGACCCCCCGATTGTTCGGCTGGGGGTCCTCCTCCTCCTCCTCCTCCTCCTCCTCCTCCTCCTCCACCACCTCCTCCCCCTCCACCCCCGAGGCCTGGGAGGGGGGGGGGGGGCTGATTTCCGATTTGGGGTCCCCAGGGGGGGGGGATCAAGGCGGGGGGGTGGGATCTCACACGCCTGCAGACCTACAAGAAGTCGGGGGATTTTCCGCGATGTGAGGCCATCCGGATATTTCTGTTTTTTACGCATGATCTCCGACGGGTCTGGTCAAGTTCGAGCTCCAGCAGTTCCATTGCATCCCTCGAGCCAGTCGTAGAGCGAGGTGCGCGAGAGCTGCTGAAGGGCTTGAGCTTTGGTGCTGGAGGCACCCCCGGAACGAGTCGTGAATGCTGCGCACCCTCCATATCAGAGCCCCAGGCTTGCGAAGCAGTAGGCCAAGGCCAGTTGAGCATTTGTTTTTGATGCAGGCTTGCTCCGTCGCCTCAGACGCCTACAGAGGCTGAGATCCTTCTGGGCAATACGAGAGGATGGCATGTGATTAACAGCGGGATCACACAGGAGGAAGTCCAAGAGTAGGAGGAGGATTACGTATGGTTACGGTGAACACGCGGTTACCAATTGCAATATTGGACAATTCCAGAACTCAATTCAGGAACGCCAGCGTGTCGTAGCCGACGTGCGCGTCTGACTCCAAGAATCCGAACAACAATTTGTCGAACAGTGACCAGTGACCAATAGCATCAACTCCCACATGATGACTATGATCGCCACCTAGACTGACAACTTCGAAACACAAGCCACAAGCTGAAGAACACCTGCCCGCTTACACGAAGAGTAATACGGCCCAGCCGCCACCCACGCGTGTCCACGGGTTCCACAGCCCACGGGAAGACAGCACAGCCCATGCACCAGAAGCAAAACTCACCAACACCACGGCATGAAGATGGAGCCAGGGCTTGGCTCGCCTCCAAGCGGCATCGTAACATCCCATAGCAAACCATAACCACCCTGGTCCCTCTCGACAGGCAGGGGTCTCGGGGCAGACCTGGCCAGCCTTCACAGCACACACACACAAGCACTCGCAGCCTCACGCCGCGGTCGGCCATCATGCACTGAACGACGACGTAGGCGAATTGCAGTAGGAGAAGGAACAGCATGCGATGCAGAAGCCGAAGCGCATCACCGAGTACACTACGATACTATAGCCCACCATGCCGACGCGCCCGATGATGATAAAAAACGCCTCGAACCTCGCACAAGAGTGCCCGTTGCCACAACGAGCACCTACACGCTCCGCAGCCCGCCCACCAGGAATTTCACACGAAGAAAACCACTGGGAGCATGCGCAGCAGCAGCATCAGCATCAGTGTCAGCATCGCCATGCATACGAAGGTAGAGACGAACGAATTCAACCCGGCTTTGTCTGGAGCGCCAGGACGTGGAGCTGCAGGGGGCACCCGCACCATCCGACATCAGGCCCCGGGACAACCGCCGAGCGGCGCTGCAGTGAGACCTCTCGAGCCACCGTGGGTTAAGAATTAGAGGCGGAGGAGGACCAAGAGATTGGGGAGGAGGCGGAGAAGCAGGAGGACGAGGAAGGCCAGACGGAGCAAGAGGAGCAGCAGCAGGATCATTCAGGTAAGGGGCAGGAGGAGCAGCGCCAGGAGCAGCAGACGGGAGGATGGATGCAGAAGGGAACGAGGAGGAGGAGGAGGAGAAACAGAAGCAGGGGGATCAGCAACGGCAGGCGCGGGAGAACGAGGAGGAGACGGAGGAAAATGATCAGCAGGAGGCTCAGGAGTGGACGGCCGACGGGGAGCAGGAAGAAGTGGCTGAGCACGAAGAGGACAGAGCGATGATAGGGGGAGTTGGGGCGGGCCCTCCAGTCCCACCCTTTCTCCTCTCTCCTTCCGCCCTGCCCTCCCCCATCCTCCCACCCCCTCTCCGAGCGAGGGCGCAGGCCTCGGCTTCCTCTTCCAGCTGCGCTGCCCTCTGGCCCCCCGCACTGTGTATCCCCGCGGGCGGCGCCGGGGCGCGGTGCAACGCGAGGCCTCCCGCGACGCTGCGGGCGGCCGACGAGGCCACGCCCGCGGAGGGAGGGCCCTCGCGGAGAGAACGCGGGGCGCCATCGCTGCCTCTGCTCGCGGGGGCAGCCAAAAGACCCGCCTCCTCCTCCTCCTCCTCCTCCTCCTCCTCCTCCTCCTCCTCCCTCCTCCTCCTCCTCACTCCTCACTCCTCCCTCCTCCTCCCTCCTCCTCCCTCCGCCCTCCTCCTCCTCCTCCTCCTCCTCCTCCTCCTCCTCCTCCTCCTCCTCCTCCAAGGCCCCGCGCTCGCCTGCCCCCCCCCTCCGGCCAGTGGAGGCATAGGTTTCAGTCGGGCCTGTCCCTCTACAGGGGGAGTATCCAAAAATAGTCAAACGAATACCCTGGCGATTATGTTCGAACATGTTTTTGACCGTTTTGGAGCATGTTTTGCGTATTTTTCTGTTTCGTCGAGAATCCCCCTGTAAGGGGGACACGACCGACTTAAGAATAGGTGCCGGTCCTCCTGCTCGTCCTGGAGCCTGGCATCGTTCGGACGTGTGCATTTTTCCTTCGGCGAGGACCATCGGGGAGCATCCTTGATCATTTGGGGAAAAACCACGCACGAAACCGGAAAAAAACACAGGGAATGGACGTCCGAGCGATGGCCAGGGAGAGTCGCCGCCGTCGCGCTTCCTCGCCGCCGTCGTTGCCGTGGGTCTGTGGCCGTCCGTTCTCCTGGGCTTCGTGGCCTGTGGGAGCGCGCGCGTGGCCGGCCGGGAATCCCGCCGATGCCGCGCAAGCAGTGGCGAGGCGTCCTGGCTCGCCTACGGCCCTGCCAAGCAATGCTCTGAGAACCTCTTTGCTCAGGAGGGGAAAAAACACACAGACACAATGAATCGTCGATTGCATGGAAATATGGGAAAATATGGGACGTGGGGGGGGAGACAAAAGCCCAGAAAATATGGACAAATATGGGGGATCTTTTTATTTGTGTGTATTTATGTGTGTGTCCCAGGACCCCTTTATTTGTTGTTTCCACGAGATGTTATCCGAGCATTTCTGGTTAAGGCTGTCTTGTTTTAACACATCGGGTCAATGTTCTAAGAGCGTTGTTTTTGTTCTTGGAACATGTGTGGGTTATAAGAACATTTCGTGGTAGGACTATAGGAATGCCGGGACGCTCGGTCCCTGCTCAAGATACCGTGTCCCTTCCATCCGCTTGCGTGTGCATCCTGGCAGGCCCTCGTGTGGCCGATGCCCGATCTACCTTCAGGTCCGGCATGTCCCTCTACAGGAGGAAGACCTACAAATAGTAAAAGTAGCCTGGGACGATCATTCTACTATTTTTGAATAGTGTGGGGCTATGTTTAATTGAATTGCTTCGCTCATTCCGCCGGTCCATATTGTATCAGTGTTACTATATTGAGCGAGGAGGAGCAGGATGAGTAGGAGGAGGAGGCGGCGGCTGCGTTCCACAAGAGTTCAGCGTCTGGCGAACTAGGGGGGGAGGCAAGCGCCCCCCGTTCAAATCAGCAGCTCGGCACCTCACGCACGAGGGGCACTAGCGGCATCCCCGCGCATGCGCAGGGGTAACCAGTGCACAGCCCGTACCGAAGTGTCCCCTCGCTGAACTCAGCGAGGCGAGACTCAGTTATTTAATGGGGAAGACCCTCCGAGTGGCCCAGAGAGTCGGAACCAACGAGCCGACCGACTGTCGAGGTCACGCAGAGAGGCAGCACAGCTAAAGGTTCGACTGGTTTCGAAATCCGACTCTCAACGGCGCACAGCGCATTTTTCTACAACAACAAGGTGCGAAATGCCAGAGCGACACGAGAAGGGAGAACGAGCGGAACGAGGGGGAGGGGAGGGGGGACGCGTGCGCAGCAGGCGCTGCATCGGGCGCGGGTTCACCATGCCTTCGGTAGCGGAACGGCCCCAATGACCCGCAGTTGGAAATTCACCGCAGCGGCGACACTGGACCACACGTGGAAATCAACCTCAATGGCCCCAACGAAGCGCACGTGGAAATCCTTCACAATCACGAACACGATCCACAGCAACACGACTCACTTCGCCTGCTCAAGGATCCCTTGGCCCTCCAGCTCAAGATGACCAGGCGGACGTGGGCCTGGAAACGCCTGGCGCTTCTCGAAGCCCTCGATGGCTGCAACCAGAGCACGCTCAAACAACTCGTCCTTGATCGCGATCATCAAGCGTTTCTTCTTGCTGTCGTACACCTTCTCCGTACGGAACAGCCCCACGACATGCTGAGCCTCTTTCGGCCCAGTCTTGCATTTTCCAGGGTAGGTCTGCAACGCAGGCTTGTTCGCCTCGTCGCAGCTCTCTATCATCGCGATGACCGCCGCCGTCAACTGGAACGTGTCGGGCGGCCCCATGCCGTGACCAGCACGGCCTTTCATCCTCGGCAGGTACTCCTCCGCGTGCGCCTTGGCCATCGCACGATACAGTGCGCCTTCGACCTGCAGCTCGTTCTCCACCGTGCACCCCGCGGCTAAAAGACGATCCCGCTGGTTCTCCATGACTCCCAGCTTGAGCGCCAAATCGATCCTCTCGCGATCTCCAGACGTCTCCACCGCCCTGTACCTGACACTGCGCCCTAAAAGGCTCGGCGGCAGCATCGCCAGGGCCAGCAGAAGCGAACTGTTCCTTCCAGCTCGCCATGCCAAGAAAGACAGCAGGGGAGCACCACTTACACACAACTTCCTGGAGAGAAAAGGGATTGTCGCACGAGCGCAAAACCATTTGAACCAACACAAAACAACGAATTCATCATACTCTTGCTGCCACGGGCGGTTAGTGGGGAAGGCGTGTGAGCATGTGTTCCCTCGCCTGTTGATCATCGGAAACTCCATATCACACAGTTCACATCTATAAGGACGGCCCACCACATGTACATGCACAGTAGCCGACCCCTAGGATTTCGGACATGCCCCGCGCTTCAGTGACTGATCCAGATGTTCCGATGCATAACGCTTGGTCGTAGAAGTTGTTGCATATGAGGTATTTGTTTAAAATCGCCAGGGTTCTCGCCAGCTGTTTTTTCCCATGGTCCTCTGCTTGTGAGTTCGCCCGATACAGTAGTAATTGACTTATGGTACCGAAGGCCGCCCCGCAGCCAGGCAGATCACATGCATGTGATCGTGACGCTGGCCAGCAGGAAACACAGGTGGATCCACTCGATCCTAATCTTCATCCGCAACTGGACCAGGGTGCGAGGTATCCTCCTGCTGGGCCACCTCCCCCACCTCTCTCCTCAAACTCGCCCCGTCCCCCTGCTGCTAAAAATAGATCTGTATAAGCTCCTCCTTGATATCCTCATGCGTCCTTATCCTCCTCGTGTCATTTTAACCAGCGGGATGGGGATCTCAATGACAGCGCGGCGAACGTCAGGTTCGCAGAAGGGCGAGACAGGGCGCACTAGACGCCGAGGGCGCACATCCAACATCGGGAACTGTCGGGCGCATATCGTCACGCCCGCGGGAAACTGAGCCCACCAAAGGGTCCACTGAACCAGCCCCTGGCGGCCCCGTCGCATACCCCAACGGATCGCAAAGGTCTTGTTGGTCCCACGGCGCGTGCCCAAAAAGCGTGCCCGCCAACGGCGGGTGCCTCTCGGGGTGCCCGGTGATCTCCTTCCACCAGCTGAGCCTCTGCGCCCGAAGAGAGAAATACGGAGGCCGCATCCCCAGCGCGGTTCTGGCATCCGCGTTGGGACGGGCAGCGTGATTAGCGCCTCTTCCACCGTCGACCGTTTCAACCTTAAGACGCCCCTTGCCGCGAAGGGCCCGCCTCGCAAGCTTTGCCCGTGCGCTCTCCAGCTTCTGCAGGTCCGCCTCGGCGAGCGGGAGGCGACCAGCTCAGACGACAGAGTCGCCTCGACCATATTCTGAAAGATCATGCTTCGCCACCTCTTGTGAAAGACTTTCCCCCCAAAGCTGCCCAACGCCCAGAAGGCTGGTCTGGCGCGTTGCGCCCTGTAGTCGGCCTCGGGTCTCGAGCGCGCCCGGAGGTGGATTTTGCTGCCCGTGCATTTGGCGACGCGAGGGACCCCCCCTTCATCGAATCCTTGCCCCTATACAGCCTCCTCACACCGCAGTGGGTGCCCCTCCCCATCCAGCTGGGCCAGTGAGATCTGCTTCGCCCCGTTAAAGTGCCACCTCCCCCTCCCTCAACTCCACGCCCAGTGCGCCGAACTGCGCCGGCGACCGCGAGTGGCATTCGGCCGCGTCCGCCACGGCCAGCGCGCGAGCAATGTCGCCCGGGAACGACGAGACAGATATATCTAGATGCTCCCGCGCGCGGGCGCTGAGCAGTTGCCGCATTTCTTCCTGCGGCGCAATGCAATGTCTCAACCAGTTCAATTGTGCGCGGACCCCCCGCGCGTCAGACTCACGGTGCCTGTCGAGCGCCATATTGTGTACACGCCCAGAAACCAAACGCATGAGACGGCATCGCCAGGTAATGTCCCTTGGCCGATACCTTTCTCCACATCCCCATCGACGCGCTCGATCACAACCTGCGCGAACGGAAGGCGCTGCCGAAGAAGAGCAGCAGCAACCTCGTCACAACGCGGAGTTACATATTCCATGAGACGATGGCGATGCACATTGTGAAACGCGTTTGATGCATCGCACAGCGTTGTGAGCTGACCTATGCGAGAGCCATGCGACCTAGCAGCACAAGCGTTCTGAAGAAGCATCGCCTCTTCCACCCGCCGCCCCCGAAGATAACCGAACGCGCGCGGCCGATCCGCGTCGGCCGTAAGGGCAGGATGCTGCCCCAGAGCTGAGAATAGTAAAGTTTCCCGAAAGGGTTAAGCGAGTGCACCAGGCGCTGGCCTCTGCATTCGTTGTGCCCATTCTGCTTATCAAGCGTAAAAGCTTGACTGCGGTCCCACTGCACAGGCGCCCCGCTGTGGATCCGAATCGCTATGCAAATCCACGTGCGGCACCGCGTGCTAGCAGGAAAATGCTAGTCTGGAAAATGATCGTAGCGCTCGAGGAGCAATCCATCGGAGCACCTAAACTCGTCGGGGTTGCTCATCAGGCGCCGCACCGAGGGGGGGGGGGGCAGGCAGGAGGCGCGCGACGCAGACGCGCACGTGAGAACAGGCTCGTGAGGGCGACCATGCCATCATTAGCAGCTTGCACCCTTTCGGCGGGCA